AACCATGTCCTCATGTCTTCAAACACTCAATAAAATAGCCTACCAACTGATACCGCAATAAAATAAATATGCGTTCAATGCACGCGTATGTAAAGTAAGCACTGCGGCACGACACATCAACAAAAACGCAATTTCAATTGCAATTAAGCAAACACCATCAGCATCCAAACACATTTACATTCGCATAGGTGAATGCCGGAAAACAAACCATCAAGAAAGTTAACATCGACATTAGTCAAAAGTCAATTACAGTTAGTAGATAGAATATGATTTATACTCGAAATATACTGAATGTTTTAATGTTTTGTTTTAATTTTTTTTTTGTTACGGATTAAAAATTGAAACAAGTACTCAACATGTTTTCCAACAGCATGAACATATGTGGGATTATATTCGTACATCTTGTATGCTTGGATACGAAGAGTATTGGGAGTAATTCCACTTTAATGCCATGACGTCGGTTGCACGCGAAACGTTCGAAAAGTTTAAAACAACACGCGGGCGGCAACCCTGAAAAAAAAGAGCCAAGCGGGCGCGAGTCCCAACCGGTTCGAAGTGCGGTGATTGATGATGGCATTGTTTTCCAGACGCACTTAAAATCCAGCATTAATTTTTCCCATTTTTCCAAACGAACGTTTATCTTGTGCGTCTGCCAGTTACCTAGTGCCGTCGAGTGTTTGTTGTTGTAACGATGTGCAAGCGCCGAAAAAAAAAAGAAAAACGCTCGCCAATGGATGATGTCGGCTCTGGATGATATTTTGCGAACTGTACTGTGTTCATTAACTTGTAAAAACTCTTAACAAGAGGTAGAATAACACTTTTGTTATTTTATTGTTTCGTGATGTAAATTTACAATTCAAACCTACTAGTTTATTGTTTGTTTTTAATTTGTGGGATTTTATGGTGTTTAAGTAACATGAGATTTCTTGGTTGGCGCACCCATTAACTCGATGTTAATTCTTAATACTTTGATAGTATGTATGCGTCGACAACAATGTGCGAGGGCGACGGATGAGCGATTTGTACTTGTAACCCAGCACCTCTCGGTTCTTGCGCCCTGTGCGATAGTGTTGCTGCGAACTATTAGTGCGCGCGATTAATTCCGAACTCTAAAACGACCCCAAGCCATTGCCGCCATCGTCGCCACCGTCCCCGACAACAGCGGCGCCGGCGATGACGAGCGCCGGTTCTAATGGTTTTCGCACAACCTACCTCATTAATTTTGTCACGTGCAATTATAACGAGAGACGTACTGAAGAATATCGTATTTCTGCGTGGAACCTCTAGATTTAGAGTTAACACAACTAAAACTTTGTCTTTTTTTAACTGAATCAAAGTACCAAACTAAAAAAAATCACTGTGAGATCCACTTCGACCAATTTCATTCTAAAAATAATGAAAAAGTAATGGTTAGTAGCCAAGCGGAGTCCCTCATGCCACATTTAGAATCTATGTCATTCGTGTCAGAATTCACATCGATATCTTTCGATTCATAACAACATTATTTCCTCTCTCTTGGTCAGATCTCGTTCGAAAAATATATGTCATCTCTGCACTCTTTTTTGTGCGTTTTTTTTCTGACTGCCTACCCTATTCGCTGCGGGAATGATCTTTGCGTGGCAATTTCTGAATCGACTCTTTTGTGTGCAACGCCTGCAACGACCCGACGCGCATCAGCGCATACTTCGACATTAATATATGAGGAGGAGTGGATGCTCGACGGGGCGCGCTCGCCTTTTTACGCCGCCAGCCGCCGCCGTCCTTCACGGTCGTCTTTATCCTGGTTGAGCGCGTTCAATAATAACGATCTTTATATTCCTATATATACGGAATCCGTCTCTCTCATGCGCGCAACTCTCCGGAAAATGGTTCAGGGTATCAGCGCATTCTCTTTCTGGACATGGATATACAAGGTGTTGCATTTGTTTAATTTTAATTATATTTGTGGGAACTAGAGAGTTTATTAATGCTTAGTATATAAACGGATTAATTTGATTACTTGAGTTTTAATTTATTGCGATTGGGTGTGATTTGAGGTGAGTGCGATTTGATTAAAATCCTTTGCTTGATGGACAGTTATCACTGAACAAATCTGTGATCGGTGGTGCTGTGTGGATACTGCTGTGGCCGGCGTGATGATTATCGGGCATCCATCGGTCCGACCGAATGCTTTAATCGAGATCCTCATCATAATCGATGGTAATTGAATCAGACCTGGCCAGAATGATACCCTAGAGAATTATCGTCCACTCGAGTAGCAACGATAGGCAGCAAAGATTGAAATTTCCCATTTACACAACGCTTCACGGTCTTATCAAATCCAAAAATTTAAAAATTTAAATTTTCTTTAGCAAGATAACACATAAAATACAAGTTAATGAAGTAAAAGTGTTTTACAGATAAGATTAAGCTCGTCTTAAAGTATCTCCTTGCACATGCTAATCCGTAGTTAACGCGACAACGTAAAATTAATTAAAAGCGTTTGCTATCAGCGTGTATCGTCATAAAATTGCGGAAATGCGCGCGCGCGCGTACAATGAGCGTTATTCTCATTACGCTTTACGATTCGCCAATAAATATAGAGAATGGGATAGTGATGACGGTATTCGTGTCAGTCCTGTCAAAAGGACAAGCCCAACGAGCCCGAAAACAGGCGTCCAATTCAAATATGGCGCTGTGCGCTTGTTTTCGCTGCTCAAGATACACATCAACACATGAACACATCCAATTCTCGCCTCGACTGTCAGCGGCTCATCAACAAGTCTAGATACTTGTTTGGTCGTACATCACATTCCCGTCTTGTTTTGTCTATGCCCGATTGTCCTTCCACGAGACGCTATCATTGACGCGTTTATCACGCCATGCTCCGAATGGTCCAAAGTTGAGTGCATGCTCAAGGACAAAGCGTTAAAGGACACAATGGGCAAGAACACAAGGACTAGAGGAATGCAGAACTACACAGAAATTGACATTGTATCGGCACATGGGGCAATATCGAGCGATAGATGATATTGTGTGATATTGTATGATGTGTATCTGGGTAGTTAATTTATTTTTTGTTGCATATCAAACAAAACAATCACAATAAACTTGATTTTGGCATTTTGTTGATTATATTTGATGAGTTAATTAATACAACGGCAAGTTTTGATTAAAATTTATTATTATTTATTTATATCTGAAAATCTGGTATTGAGTTTTGTATTATTATTATGAGGCAGGTATTGTTGTTTTTATTAATCTCAACAGAACAATTTGTGTTAATTAATGATGTTGCTGGACTAAACTAATTTACCTACATGTCATAACATAGATTTTCATAGTGCGGATAGAACCTATAATACATTGTACACAAATCATAAATATAGAGTGCAATCATACGCTAAGCGCTAATCAATTAAGCAATTAATTCGCAAAATAAATGAACACCCGGCGCTTCTTGCTATTTGCCGCCCCGCCGCAGTAACCAGCTCGAGAGCTCGTTCGCTCTGTGTACTTCAATGCTCTTTGTGCACGCCCGCGCTGTTTCGCAGCTAATTATTAACGAACGAATATGTACAATTTCACAATGCACCCGCTGCCGTTCAGCGGGCGCGCAAAGCAAACTTTCATAGAAATTTGAATCGTACATCGAGATTCATCAATGGCGTGACTACAATGATTCTTGTAACGCGTGGGTAAGGCTGTCAACGCTCATGAATAACGAAGTTCCGCTGGGAATAATTTGACTACATGCAATGCAAATAATTCGCCATTAATTGGCCAAAGTAATCAAGAGTAATCATCGCATTGATGTACCAGTACGTAGGAAATGCATGTTGATTACGAAAATGTAATTTAGGTACAGTTGAAGTTCTAGAGTTAGTAATATTCTTGCAAAAATTGTTGCTGGTGTTTTGTACACCACGTGATAGTGGAATTATCATCAAAACATTAAACATTATGCACGACAAATACGTAGTACGTCAACGCTGGGGGCTGTATGGACACAACAGACATTACATTCGACCGAGAGTCATTTGAGCTTTAGTGGCAAATGGTGAATTCGCTCGGATGCGAAAATGTTTCCCCTGTGTGGGCTGTGTGGCGGTGGCGGCGGCGTCACGGATGAGACGACGATGGCGGTGTGTGCGCCACACATCTTCCACGTTCCACGCGATGCTATCGCGCCGTGGCAAATGGTTTCATTAAATCATAATTATTGCTGTACGTCTAGACATTAATCGGACGCTTTTAGTCAGAAGTGCGCCCTTTCGCTAAGTTATATGCGTGATATGGCCCGTTTGAGATGTAATGGCGACGCACAAACGTGTAAACAATTGCGAAAAGTACAGGAAAAGAACAAATTGCAACGTTTTACATTCTGTCTCAAGTTGACACTTTTATAAACGCATTTGGTTCAACTTGAAACATGTCTGCTAATGGGACAACTATTATAGTTACAAATGATAACTCAGAAGTGAACAATAAGGTGTATTAAATATAAATATTTCTTATTTATCGATGGTGAATAAATAATTTTATTTGAATACTGCTATAGCCCTCTACCAGAATAAAGTTGTAGCTTTATATAGTTCATGATTTCACTCACAGATGGCGGACCATTCTCTAATATTCATTAATTTTTGGACAACTTTATTTAAATAATTTTTAGTCGTACAAATACTGTTAATTTAAAACGTAGGTTTTTAAAACAACTAATTTAATTAGAGATCGTATATTTACATTTAATTATCACGTTTATTCAATAATCTGGTATTAATGGTAACCTTGTCACTTTTGAGATGGCACTGCATGGCACACGTTTGTTTACATATTTTGCTGAGAAATTAAATTAATAGGATAATTTTTAGTAAACTGTAACTATTGCAATTAATTATTAATCATAATTTATTAATGTTTGCATAAATTATACCTATATTAGCAAATTTCGTGCAAAAAGTTGCATCTTTGTCCCGAAATGGAATGCGCGCGCAGCCAAACCTGTAAACCGGTACTTTCAAAAACCCGTTTCCAACGATTCGCGCCGTTACATTGACCATTGTTGATTACTTCACATTATTTCGCTTCATTGGTCGTGTGTGTGCGGCCTGTGTTGCCTCCAGTCGGCTGCATCTGTCCCTCATCTGCTCTTCAGCACTCTTCGCTCACTCCATTCGTGCGTGAATTCGCCTTGGCGAAGGAAGAAAGAACCGCGTGGCAATCGCCAGCTCTAACCGCCACCATCATTCCGAAAGCATGGCGAGTGAAAAACGCACGCAATCCGAACAACTCAAACAACTACTGCACGAATTTCCGCACGAAATCATCAGTCCTGTAAGCTGCAGGTAAGCTGCAAAAGTTAATCACAACATATAACCATTCAATTTTTCCTCAATGACCTTATCTGTGCTTGTACTGTGCAACAATGTCAATGCCCTGTTGCTTCATTTGCTCCATCTGAATGTTTGTTATTATATTACTACACTCATTTGAGCTGAGAATTTCGATTGGCATAACGGTGCTTTTCCGATGGTGCACGCGCAATTAACAAACAAAATTCGCTTATTCGATGAATTAATTTGTGCAGGCCTCGAAAGAAGATGTGGGTGTTTAGGACGTGGTCTGTGGCAAGTATGTTATTTAATTCATATTGCACCAGTCCCGGCCTAATCAACCTCATTGCATTCAACTCGATGGATTTTTATTGTCATGCATGCATTTTTACATAATGATAATAAACAGGAAATTAAAACAAACCCACACGTTTCTACTGTGAACAATCAAATGTATTGTGATTTACTTCCTCATGCTTTGTTCATGTTTACAGTGAGACTGATGCCGCCAAAGTACAAGCACTATCAAAATATGTGTATCCGGTATTGAAAACTGGAATTGAGCACACACTTCGGCAAATCTTGGAAAAAGATGCTCATTTTGTCGCGTTTGGAGAAGCACTTGACGAATTAGAATCTTTGAAACAGACTGGCCAAAAGAGGACAAAGTAAGTGATTACTTCTTGATTAGTACAACACAGCGGTTAAGAATTTAACTAAGAATTCTATTTTATCTGTTTTTTTAGTACTCAAGATGTGGAACCAGGAAAGATTGATTTTGATGATTACAAAATTATAGCTCTGCATAAACAAATTCGTAAAATGCAGAAGAAAATTCAAGCCAACAACACAAAAATCAACAATCTGATGAATCAGGTTGAAAGGAAGCGAGAACGCGTTAACAACGTCCACACAAATTTAATGCAATTGTAAACAATTATGATTGTAGTAAGTTACTGTTGATAAACGCCAAATATTCATCTCTAGCTTCTTGTTCTTTTCTGCATTTCATCATCCATTCTTCATTTTGTTGCTGCAATTCTTCTATTTTCTGGCTGGCAATGCTAATTTGCCTATTTACATCTTCAACATAGGCTTTAATACATGATTGTTCCAAAATCACAGCATTTATTTTGTTTCTTATTTCAGGGAGTGATTCATGCTGAGCATCTTCATCTTTAACCTGCAGGAGGGCTTCCAGTTTGAGTAATTCCAGCTCAAGTTTACAATTTTTCTGATGTAACGCCTATGAAATGTGATATATTAATTAGTTTATATTTTTTAATATTATGATCTTACATTGATTTCATTTATATGCATTTGTGCATTGTCACTGTACTCCTAAGTTTGTATTGATTGATGTGATATTCTCCTGTATGCTGGTGATAAGCAACGAAGGTTTCCGCATTTTGTTGCTCAGCTATGACGAGTTTCGATTTCAAAGCTTCGTTCTGTCCTCTTAGTTTATTTAGCGCGCTATTCATGATTTGAACTTGGTTGGAACGTATCTGTTAAATTGAAGGTTGTGACAATAGGAAATGAATGCTTCTAGAATACCGTAGATGGCGCCACGTATTCTAGTTCTTGAAGAAATCGACGAATTCTTTGTTTAAATATTAGATTTTATGTTTGGCAAACTTTAATTGTTTAATTCAATATGAATGAAATTAAATTGTTGCATATATTTATAGCGTTAAAAACGTTGGGACCAGTTGTAATCTAAAATTATTTATTCTTCTCTAGGTGAGCTCAACAGATGTCGCTGCATGTATCATTTACGCTTCTACGGTTGGTAGTAAAGAGACGCCGAATCGGCGCAGAAGCAAGACGCGCGCGAACCGCTATGTGGTGTGCGTGCAGAGGGCATTTATTATTCAGCTGTTTGTGGAGCAGAGCATCGCTGGCGCCATTGCTTCCGTTCGGCGTTAAATTCCCAGAGTGATAGAAAAAGAGTTTGCAAATTGTGTGCGTCGCCCACGTCGGTCAACTGCGAGACGAGCGGCTCGATTAAGGTTAGTATATTCTAATAGTTGCAATTACGCCGCACGCCGCGATTACATACGCCGAGCAGTCGGCGAAATATCGATAAAAACATGCGTGCTAGCGCTAGGGGCTGCCGTCCGTTGTGCCGGCTGAACGACCTTTTATCATCATGGATGGCATGCCATGTCGTGAGGTTGGACGCTTCGCGGGCATCGATGCCTCGCCGCCGGTTTCTGAAATTATTGTCGACGCACGCCGACACTGCCCGCGCGCTTGCTATTAAAACGAAATCAAGTAATAACACAACAGTTGATGTTGATAAAATATTATGATCATAGATAAACGCGATGTTGGGTTTGCGCACCACACGGCACGATGGCTGTGTGTACATGCGTGGATGTGTATGCGTGCTAGTTGGATAGAATAGATCGTGTTTTGTTTGTTTCGGGTTAGGAAACATTTCACACTTATCTCTTTGTTTTCACGTGGCTTTGCAACATTGCGACGTTTTATTTTGTGCGTTTTTTGATTTGGTTTATAATAAATTTACGTGAATCTTGGATTTATTCTTTGCTTACATCTAGAGCGAAAATAATATTTCCGTATTTTGATTTCGCAATACTACATAACTTTTGTGATTTATAGGAAGCGGATTGAAATGTGCAATTTAAATATTTTATGTTTCTTTGATGGTAACAGGATGCGAAAGACATTATTACCTCGATAGGTTATTTTTATTTTAACAAAGACTTGTCAAAAATAGATATTTATTAACATGTTTTTATCAGAAGGTTTTCCCTGCTGACAAGTTGCCGCTGAAATTCCATATCAATCTAGTTAGCAGTTATTATCGCCCGGTGACATCGTGCTGTTCCAAAAAAAGATCGTTAATTAAAAACCCATAAATCCAACCGAAACTACTATTATTCTAGTATTGGTAATTGAAAACCGCACCGAACGTGAAAACCGAATTAACACGCGCTCGGACATATTAAAAAATAGTTTCCAAATTCTCTTTGCCTAGCTTCCTGTCGAATATTTCTAATTGCTCTTTGCATATAGTCCCCATATCCACCCAAATGGAGTATACCTGAAAAATACACGTAACGAGGCACAGGCAAATGTTTGCAGTGTAATAAACAAACAAACTAAAACAAACAAAATTTCTTCAAAGTCTTCTGACGTCGCCGATAACGTCAAATGCTAAAGATACACTAACGCCATGAACTAAATAAATAATATATTGAGTCTATTTTGGTATTTTAGTAGGAAGTAAGTGTAATTTGTAGTGTGGAAATCAATTTAGGACATTTTTGAAATAAAACTTTGAAGCATCATGATTTACTTGTCCGCTTTAATGAAATGTATTATGCGGTAGTAATTGAATTTAACAACTTGCAATTTAAACTAATGCACGGCATTAGTCACAAGTTAATAATTCATGCGCACATTGAACGTAATCATACGTACGTGGAAGATAATTATCTAGTGCATTTCTGCTATCGTGACTTATTTATTTTACGTGTGTATAATTAGCTTGTGTATATCGCAAATGTTGCTTTACTTTGTAGTTACAGTTCCAATATTGAATATGTGTGTTAGGTGAAGTGGTCGATGTATCGATTTTTATTTGCCCCTAGTTTTGTTTGTAATGTTGGTGGTTGTAGCTGTCGATGGAAAAGTGTCAAGCGTGTCAACATTTGTACAATTTTCAATAACAAGTTATTACTTTGAACACATGGAAATTAATTATTTTCATTGAAATTTTATTCCGTAGTAATTAATTAGATTTTTCTTTCAATACTATAGGCTGTTGGTAAATATAAACATTATTTTTGTGTTTGGTCTTTTTATAAACATGGCATGTTTATATCGGTTTGAAGAAGACACACACGCGCGGTTGGTTGCCAGGCAACGCAAATGTCTGACCATACAAATACGATACAAAATGCATTATCCCATTATCCATCAATGTTTCAATATAATCGTTACATCGAAACTAATCTATGCATCATTAATGTGCCGTGCGCGCTTTCCTGTGTGCTTACGTTGTTATCCTGCGGGGTGAAGGAGGGAAGGTATATGTCCATCGGCGTGCCGCAAAAGGGCAGAGGCAGGCAAAATTCTTTCCTAACGCGTTCATTTCCTATTCCTTGGTTTATTGCTTCCTACATGACTGCTATTATCTTTTTTACTTTCGTTTTTATTTTCACACTAGTTAAAATTATTAGTTTTACTACTACGCATTTTGCTGCAAGGGAAAGAAATAGGATTTAACGATAATTTAATTTCCATAACTTTTCTAGATTTTCTTTGGAACATTCAAAATCACAAAAAAATACGATTACTATTACGACTTTGATAAAAGTTATTATGTCATTGAAAATGACACAATTTTGTAAGACAACTCTCAATTTCTATAGGTTTATTTGTTCATCCGAGTGTTCAATGTTTGCAACTCTAAACCACAAACAACAACACCAATAGCATAGAAAATTTGACACACTTTAATGAAAGGCCGACTTCTTCGCAAACTATAACAACAACAACGAATCTATATTAATTTAAGTGTAACAGTGTGTAGGATGTAGTATGAACAAACACGTATATTTAAGTATTGTTGAAAACGTCATAAAAACGTACAATGAACAGTAAACAACATCAATTCACTTCACACACGTGATCAACATGGGATGAGATAAGACACACAATGATATATGTGCTACGGCATGGTAATTAGGGTTAATAGCACCGAGAATAGAAAAAATATACGAGGCAATTAACATCACGAAATGGCAAATTACTCGGAAGCATTTTCTCTTTGACTTTATGGTTGATTGCTATCATATGTTTATATATTTAAAGTATTGCAAACTGTTGAGATACTTTCTATAGTCGTTATTCCCTTTTGTATTTCCCGGATGAAATTAGTTCTGGATTTGTTTATAAAAAGATTGCATTGATAATCGTTTTGTGCTGAAACATTAGAAACCTAGTTGTTGTTTTAGCTAATAGAGGCGCAACTGTAACGCGTCTTAAGTGCGCAGTTTTTGCTTCTTTCCTTTTAGGTTGCTTCTGTTGATAGTTGCGAGCAGTTATTGTCTGTTTTGTAGCTGAAAGGATTTACGAGCTGCGCGTTCTTACAAGATTTCACTTATGATAATTAAAATGATTCTCGTAACTTCCAAACATGTTTCGAAAATGACTTTGGTAGTGAAAAATGTGGAAGCACGCTAAAACTTTGTATTTATGTCAGTAACTTTTAAAACGGAATTTATTATCCGGCTAAATATATTGACGATGAAAAGGTTTATTCGTTAGTTAAAACTAAACATTAAAATATGCTTTAAATCATGTTGCTGTCGCTTTAATCACGTTTCATATTGGTAATAATTATTTCATTCGTCCGCCCATATCAAAAAACATACCGTGCGCACTGGTTGCATTACTCTGTTGCTCTCTACTGTTGACTGAGCTGATCGTGGTGAAATTGTGCTCCCGTTTTTATCTACCCACTGCGGACAAATCCTACATGCGAGAATTGTAGTTATCGATCGCATGTGGCTGTTGTGTTGTTGCTGAACCATGTGTTCGGATATGAGATTTAAATTTTGAGCACTGCGAATGATATTGTAACGAGTGCTAAATGCTTTTGTAAATATTTTTTACTCTACCGTATGTATGGTACGCAGGTACTAAAAGGTTAAGTACGTGTTAGTCATACAGGCTGAGTCAATATATTGTTCGATTCTGGCTAAAAGTATCTATTTGTGCAAATGGAAAGCATAAAATAAACATGTTTAAAGTTTGTGGCCTGCCTTTTCTTTTCATTTTCTGTTTCTTATGCGTATTTCTTTGTTATTTTGTAGTCTCTTTGTGTTACATTTTTGAAGACACAGAAAGAGCCTGTCGATACCATGTAGCACGTGTTTTCAGGTTACGATATCTATATTGTCGCGCGCTGAACGGACAATCGTCGATTAATTATTTATCATCGTATAGCTTTGTCCGCTTCAAAAAGTGCTCCCAACGCTTTGCAACTACATAACTGCGATTGGCGTGTGCGTGTGAATAATTGAACGCGATATCGAATTTATGTGTGTTCAATATTTATTTAAATTGCATAAGAGGCGCAACTTATTTAAGCGCATACAAAATGTATAAATACTTCGTCCCAATATAAAGGGCGATAAAGAAATGGTGCGGATATAATAACATTTAATTTTATGCCAAGTATAAAGTCGGCGTATTTGTCACCTTGTATTGCACATTCAACTGAGCCTACTACTCTCGTTGAGTTTATTCGAGTTGTAGTATCGCTTTTATGGAATGACATCCAAGAACAGGTTACACAAGTCGCACAATGTGCGATGGTTTATCGCGCGTACGCTTTTAAAACGGTTTTATTAATCGGAAATGAAGATTTATGTCTGCGCTGTGAGCTTTTCACACGTAGGCAGTTGTGCAATGAGATGCAGTTTATAAAAACTTCAAGTACAGCACTTGTATTTCCGCATTGTAAATTTCTGCATTTGTTTGTTTTCAGGTGGTGACAACATTCGAATTTGAGTCCAAAACGTGTGCCTATTTTACTGTTAAGGTAAGTTCTTGTTTTATGCTAAAAGTTTTGTGCACAGAAAATGTACATGTCATTCACGAAAAGTTGCGAGTTATTTCGGATATAATTGTTTGTTTTTTCAATTGCGTCGCGCAGCACGCGATACTAAATTTTCGGACAAAACGACCACATCCTGGACCTGACCTGCACTGTTTAAACTAGGTTTGATAAACATTTGCATTTTACTTGGAATAAATTGAATAAATAACTTGCCGCAATGGTCTGGTATAAAATGGCAGCTCCTCTGGTATACCGAGCGAGCAAAATGAGCGTATTTTGCAATCTCTTTTACGTGCAGTAAACTAGCTATAAACTAAACGAAACCACAAAAAATCCGTTCTGTATCGCCCGTTCACGATTCATCTTGCGAACACATGAGACATTTGAATATTTTCTTAGCTTATTGGCAGAGCGCGTCTAAATATAAACAACATGTAAATATTCTTTTAGACTTGTTATTTTACCAAGTGTTAATTTATTTACGCGTTACGTTACGTTAGGGCACACCGTTAGAATTTCCGAATTCCACACGACACATCTGCACGTGTGTATGTGTATGCGTGTGCGTCGTGAAATAGCTGTTAATAATTCCATTTAGTCGAACGCGTGCTGTGCGTACGATCGTATAGTTTTTTTTTTGTTGTGGGTGGTCCCGATATAGTTTTAATCGTTGTCGGAAGTTTTATTCCCAAACTATGGCGCGCGCAAAACTTGGTTTGTCCGCTTATAGCAGGATAATTTGTCAATAAAATATGGATGGACAGCGGGCGAGTAATCTGTTTATCAGTGCTGGCCGATCGTTTTGACGATAATATCGCGTGTCGAAGGTTTTCCATTCGTTCCTAGGCAACGCGACTTGGTCGCACACCACAAACGACATCGAAACCAGGAAAAAGACCCCCCCTCCCTTCTCCCGGCACCTTCTGTGCTGGGTGCTCGACAAATGCGTAATTAATAATTGAAATATTTAATAAGTATCGGGCGTTAGGTAATCATATGCTGTTTCCTTGCCGTTTTCCGCTCGGCGTACCCTGGCTGCATTTAGCTGATCGAAACGTGTCGCTGTTTATTTTTGTCATGGCTGTTCGTAATATCCTGTATGGGATTGTATGCTGGAGGCTTCGTACAGGTGTGTATGGGTGGTTAGTAGTCGACGTCGATTCCGCCATGGCCGACAAACCACCCCCACATTACTTCCTGCATATTTAATGGACAACCTCATCATTTATTTACCAATAGCGGCTCTAAGCAACGATGATTATTGGTTCGACCGGTGGCTTTCGGCTGAGTTTCCCGACTGTTGGCCGGTAAACGCGTTCAAAATGTGTTGCGTTTCCTAAAGTGGAACACGCGTTTGATCCGCTACTGGCTAAATTCAAAGGGAATGTTATTAGATAGCATTGCTATTAAATATTGATTATTATCTGTTTGTTCATTTGGTCGTTAGTCATTTTCATATCGTCCGAGATCGGCGCGCCGCTTTGTTGTTCTTTGATGGCGTCCGGGCTGAACTTTAGATTGCACCGACGTGCAATCGGGTGTAATTAATATTAACTTTAGCGGCGTTATTCGTGGATCGTGGCGGCATCTTCTAAACCAAATTACCTTGATGCGGCCAGCGCTCAACATTAATAATGAACAAGGCGCTTCCGTCATTTGGGAAATAAACTTAAAATAATGAACGCTGGCGCACATCGTCTAGAGGTGTACACATATTTGTAATTAATACATATTTTAAAAAATGGTATCAATGCAATAAGTAGCCTTTTGCGTGTGTAGTATCATATCAAATCAAGTGACGTTTATATTCATATTCGTTTTGTTTCGTTTCGTTTGTCCGTTGCCAATTTATGTAATATCTACTAATAGAGTTCTACCTGTCTGCCCTGGCAGGAAAATATTTTCAAGAATTGATGGAAGGTTATTTGGCCTCGTTTTGTTCGGCTCGCCTGTCATTTAATATTGGTGTATTTCACATCGATTCGTATTGTTTTGTTCGCCGCTTCTACTCCAATCATCTTAATTGAGGCGAACGGTGGCATTTGTTACATCTTTTCCAGGGGAATAACTCCTTGAAAAGTTGCGCTTTATCTGTATTCGGACGAGTTTGTTTGTTTGTCCTGACTTTACCAAAACGCATCATAAAATATACCGGCGATGAATTCAATAAGTTTCTAGATTATAAGCAAGTTTTCGATCGACCCGGGTCTCTGTTATCTGTTTGTGCCTTGTAGGCTCGCTCAGCGCTTCATAAACGGAAGTAGGGAATTCCCTGTTGCATCAGCGGCTGAAGGAGCGGTCTGGTCTGGCTTGTGTGACACTACATGTCACCCTCTTTGGCTGGGTGCGCCAATGTTACCCGTGCGCGCCTGTATATTTTCTTGTTTTGCACGGCATTCTCGAGAGATTCGACAATTCCACGCCGGTCCCCTAATGTGTATTTTTATATGGACGGATGGTCGGGAAATCTATTCGCCGAGGATATTTGTGTCACACGGGAGGAAAATTTCGCTGAATTCCTCTTCCCTGTGCCACTATTTTCGCCTGTCGTCTTGTGTTGCAGCTTTGTGTCGCGCTCGCGAGAAATATATGAATGGCTCGTTGCGTGTAATAATATCAGCGAAGATAAATGACTGGGCAACTTAGCAACCGGAGACAGGAGAAAAATACGCACCGTGTCAAATTGTGTTTGTTCAACGATGCGTTCTTCGTGAATCTCTGAAATTGAAATGTTGCCGGGAAATAACATTTTACATTAACTGCAATGTTTGGAGATTTTGATTAATAATAGAAGCAAATGGCAATGATTTAGAATTCTTGTCATAAATTATAGTTTCTATTACTCCTCACCACTTGAAATTTGAATTAGCATTAGTCCTGGAAATATTTCACTCAATGGTAATTTCGCGCATCGGAAGCAACACATGAAGAGGCAACCAGTGTGCGAATGGCGTGCGATTGCCAAGAAATTTTGTAGTGTCCGACCAAAAGTTTTACTCCTATCACAAAATCTCCCCTGGACTTTTGCTGTATTCCGCTTTGGTCCGTCACTAAATTTAAATCATTGCGCTTGTGCCGAATGGGTTATTAGATCGTGCTAATTAACCTAGACTGCAAACAGATCAACTTGTTTCGTGCGCCAGCGACATCGAATATTATGTTTTAATCGTTTTAATCAATTATACTCGATTGATGTGGGTGTGTGTGTTTACATCCGCGGTTTGCGCATTTTGCACGATATTTACGCGAGCGTAAAACCGTAGCGAATGCAATGAATATTGTGCATAAATCAACACTGGCATTCTGAGGGACTACAACTTGTTGAATATTTTAGATCGTGTACTAAAACTCAATTGGAAATTTTTCGTATTAATTATACTTGTATGTTTTTACGTTGATTATTTTTACATTAAGGGTGTCCTATAGTATGTTGCATTGCTGGAGGCTTCGTTATGTGAACGAGGTGCTCTTGGTGAGTATGCATAACACATTGTTGTCAAGTTTCCCAGCTTGGCCTCATCGAAACAGTTCACTCACGTTCGCAAACACGCCGCTTATGTGACAGGCCTGGTTGCGCTTATATATTGTCGGTGGCACGGATTCACTGCACTGTAAGCAGAGTAAGTGCGGTGTTTTCTATAGTTGCCGATTGGAAACATTCCTGAAATAGAACAAACATTCATATTTTATCTGTAAGGCAAATACCACGGAAATATTTATTTAGGTATATACTTTGTGGAAAACTATTTCCTTATTTTTCTGATTGGGCTTGTGAAGTTTGTTTTTTTCTCTCGCGTCATTTGCGTTTGATCGTCGCATAGAGTCCCAGTAGAGGTAATGAATGACTGTTTAAACTTCGTCAGTGCAGGAATAATTGAAGAACAAACACGACAAACGTTAATTAACAGGATGTTCAGGGTAAATTACAGCAAACTTTCCATTGAATTAAATTCTATTTTGCTGGCTGCGCAATTTGTTACAGTGTGCGTTATCAGAAATTCTGCAAATAACATACGCATGTTTCATAAATCAAACCGTCGAGTGTAAAATGACAGCGAATCCGTGAAATGAGTTTCGACTGCCGATTGTTGAAAGAATTATGAAACTATTATTTATTACCGCATCTGATTAAAAATTAATATTCAGCATTCAGTTGTGACTGCATAATACTTTTCTGGTTTTCATACTTGTAATTTGGTACGACGTTCCGCTTGAAATGTTAACCATCCGTGCATCATCAATATTTCAGCGTCTTCGATTCGCAATTACCTATGCTCGTCGTCTTTGATAACTAGACGCATATAGAAGTCGATTGCATGCCGCATGCATCCCTAGCATGTTTTCTTCCCATGCATGTCTCGCTGACCGATACAACGTCAGTCTGTAATTTTCCTATGCCACGTCGTAATTTAGCCTAATAGCTTATTATGATTACTAATTCATGTGGGAAATCCCAATTGCGTCCAGCGTTTAAATGCAACTTTATAATTATGTACCATACCATCTATGTGATAGTTGGAAACTATTTTTTATTACGTCCAGCGCGTCCAGGGATTTATTTCCCATTATTAATATGCAGTGCTATTAACTACCACCGATACAAAGTTGGCTGAATTTTATATTTGTATTGCGTAGAGCATTCATTGTTTAATATTACAGAATAGGCGATGGGTTAATACATAAATTGGTTCTTTTTTGTTTTATGTTCGTTATTTTCATTTTTATTATAGACGAGGGAAAAGCCATTGGTTTCGAGAATCTTCTGGTGGCGTGTCATTCTTCGTGTTGCATTATAATCACATTTATGCAAGGGACTAGTTCTTTGAAGATATCATATAAGGACTGACATTATACAATTGTTCTCATTCTTCGAATTGAAGAAAGGTATTGGTCTAATGTAGAATATTCTCCGAATTTCATAGGTTAACACAAGGGTGCAGTTAGTAAAATTCATAGTAATCATAGTACTGCAAAACCAGGTTTGCTTAAAGATTTGAGTGGAGTAAATGTTCATAGCAAACTTGAATTTGCTCTCGGAATAAGTCATATTGACCTTGAGATTCGTGATTATTCCCGCAGAATCAGAAATTGTTTTATAATTTCACACATATTATAGTTCTGCAATTGAACAATTTAAGTAGATTCATTGATTGTGAACCATTGTTTCATATATGGTAAAAATGACTCATTTTATTGTTATTATCAAAATGTGTTACGAAAAATTTCGATTTTCTTTTATACCACACATAAACGCTCATTCGCACGTACATTAGCATTTATTCATAAAATGTTTTATTGTTCATACAAGTAATAATAAATAACATATTCCATTTAGTGGAATAATCAGCAGTATTTCATGCGCTGATTAAAAATTAGAAGCAGTACCTATTTAACGCAACGTGCTTGTTCGACGCCGCTGTGCCAATTCAACACGAAGCCTAATAAAATAAATGTCTTAATTTTACGATAACATTTCACGAATAATAACATCACCCAAATGGCAGCGCCCAGAATGTGCTATTAAAATATGCTCATGATGCCTAGAGTAAATTGTGTCCATTATGTTAATTACGTACAAATAAAATGCGTACGCCCGAGCAATTTATCGAAATGCCATCAAGACAGATAATGCAAGCGCTCATTACGCGATGTGTTTTTTTTTTATTCATACAAAAACCTACCTAGAGTGGTAGGGAGCATTGAGGTTACTTTTACGAGTGGATGTGGCTGGACAGCACGGAAGGGGTGAACGCCAATAACAATAGTCAAAACGCAGGTCTCCGGCGATTGTTTGTATTCGGAAATTGGTCGTCATGACTACATGACAACAACAATCAATCGCGGCCACGCATCGGCGCCATTGGCTCCCGTGGCTCCCATTTGCACTGGGCGAATGGGCAACGCATCCTGGGGGAGATGCGGGAATGATAAGTTGATGGTCGTCCTCGACCGATGGTCAGTACCTCGCAAGACATCGCACCGCGCAGTTCTCGATCATAAGTCTCTGCAAACACACAGCACCGCCACAAGCCATCAACGAATTCATCAGGAAAAGTCTTACTCTGAAAATTTTACAAGTTTTCATAGCCAATCGCATCCGAACAGGCAGGCGCGCCGAGTGTGAGTTTATTTGTTTTTCGGTTTTCCCACTCGACGAGCGTGTGTGATCGCGAGGGGTTGTTGTTTGTGTACTCGGCGTTGTGCGCGTTCTGAGAGTCGACTCGTTTTCCTTTTAGTTTCGCACACTTGAGTTTGTTGTTCGCACATCCAGCGTTGTGGTTGGTTTGCACGTTTTCGCGCGCTGCTGAGAGCCGGGCGCCTCCGCCGATTGCACGTTTTGTTTTTCCAGCATCGGCAAATGCACTAGACTCTACACTAGAGGAAGATCTATTGAAGCGTGGTTATCTCATCTGTATTTATTCGACTCCGCTCTTTCTTAGCGCACTTGTAAACATCACACTTTAAGGCAACTGCACTGAACCGTATCGAAACTCTTTTCAATAGTTTCCCACTTCTTTTTCACACACATGCATCTGTGTTACCAACTTTTAATTTATATTCATTCCTTGTCATTTTGTTACAGAAGTCGAGGTCGACAGGACAACGCGGAGGATCCGACTCGACCGTAATTATCATTTAATTCAGGGTGAGTTTTAGTTTCATTTTAATAGATAATTCCATTATATCATCAACTCCTACAGCAGAAAACTGGAAGTTACAAAAAAATTAAAATTATAGTCTGTCGCGTGTTTGCCTAGTATTTTCACTCTAGTTTTTTTCCGTGTCGCCGACATCGAATATCCACAATTCGAGGGTGTTTAATGACGGTGCAACACGAACGCAAACTGCTGCAGTTCATCGGCTAATGCGCGTATGAAATGACGACTGCGAACGCCCCATAAAAATAAAACGTAATTGTCCACCGAGCATGTTTGTTCCTTCCGTTATTCGTCGAACAAAGGAACAGTCACAATATGCTCAAACCATTTTTCTACTACATTTGAGTTAAATTATAACAATCATAACATGATCACCGCCAACTGGATTCATGTATAACATTTAAATTATTTTACTTGCGTCTTTGTGATATATCTAATTTGAACATTCTGATCTTTGTGCGTGCCTCAAACGATAATTCAAATTAGATAATTCTAATTGTTAAGTAAAGCGTGCAAAGCGATTCTGATTGATCCTGTGGTTTTGCTGCTTCCTATATCTCTTTGACTTGCCTAGCAAACGTCTTCCACTGTGAAGCTACTTTAATAGTAGATTAGCGCAATGCCAGGAACAAGTCGCGTGTGCTTTCATCAAGATTATTAGACGTTAATTACATACACTTAAATGAGCAAGAAAATTGTTATTTCTCGACGTTTTACTATACTGATAATTTATAATATATTCATTCATTATTTATTCCCGGAAGAAATTCGCGAAAATATTTATCTTTCTAATTGGAATAGAAGTTTCACATAAAAAAAGACTACAAGATGTACCTTTATATTTCTTGACGTTGACGTATTATAGCACGATTATGCCATGCGAGTTACCGTTTTATTACTGGGCGTAATTTATGACTGACGAAAGTGTAACATCAAAGTGTTCGAAGCATGCCACCAAAAAAAAACGACGTGCGAAAGAGTTTTTAATTAATTAGCTTACATTAGCTTGTTTACAAAATGTTGTGTGGCTGATGGGTGGTCGAGCAAAACACGCGCCGCCATTATGTTACACAACCGTGGGGCTGTCACTTCTTGCACAAGTTTGCGATTCAAAATTGGAAATACACTCACTCGATGCAATTCGCATGTAGGTATAAAATTTGAAAAAAATTGTGACATGTAAATGTCACAATAAATTTAAGTCGGCCTCAAAAGCACTTAAGTAAGTTTCAAAGATGTGCTTTAGATGCTCAAAATAGACTGCATATGCGCATATTATCTTTGCACGACGCTAATATTTATTAAGAGCATCCTTCCTGGTATTGCATTACCTTCAGAGTAACCTTTCTATTTATATTTAAAGTTTTCCCGGTAGTAATCATTTGGGATATTTTATAGTTCGGGAGACCGGTAAACTTGTCATTTTAATCTAGGGATATCGGATTTAGGAAGTGTCATCATATCAAGTTTTCCTAATGGATCTATTTATGAACTTCCAAAAATATATCGAATGTGCAATCCGTAATATGTTTCGTTTATTATTAGTCTACTTTTAGTTAACTTGATAGCAACTGGAACCGACAATTTTGCCTTTTATTAGATATTGTGAATACCCAACATTCCACATTTTATTTTATTACTTCAACGAAAACAATAGCTATTAAATTAGGTTGAAACAAAACAATTTTCTAGCTTTGAGCATGATCTAATTTGAATACACGGCACACCCATTAACTGTAAATTCAATTAGTTTGTAACTGCATTAAGCAGGTATGTTTGTATTTTTTCCTTTGTTAAATCTGCGTTAAACATTTTTTTGAACTTTATTTTGCATTACTATGCGAAAACAGTTTTCTCTATAAGCTTAATACCGACGCGCAGTTTCGGGGGTAACGACGTACTATTAGTAACCACACTTCCGGCATACAAAACGTCCGTTTTACCCATCAGCCATAACTTAATTGTGCACGTACTTTTTGAATTACTTTGGATGCTTACAAGGCGTTTTTTAATAATGCTCCATAAAGTGTTCGAAACGTTGACTTCAATAAGTGCCTACTTTGTAAAATGGTAGGTTTTGGAATTTTGTTGGGAATTCCCATATCTCCTTGTATGTTATATTTTACAACACTCGAATGAGTTCATGATACGATTGTTGGGGGAGCGTCGATTCGGCTCCGCGTACTTCGGTGCAAAGTCGACCGCGAGCCTAGTATGCCGTCGACCATACAATCGCGTACAACGACTTTGCGCTTGTGCTCTCAACATATACTTGTTTTCTTGTGCGAGGACACGCAGTCCAAGAGCAACCGGCTCGAGAGTTGCTATTATGTGCGTCGTCGAATGAATGAAAGTGATTTGTTCAGTGTCACGAGAGAATTATTCTTGGACGTTGTTCCCCTGTGCGTTGTGTTGTATTTTTGGCATTACGTTGATTATTGATATCAATTGTCACCGAAGGTAATTAATTTTTTCTTTTACTAGTATACAATTCTAATGGTGTGTTTATGACAATTTTGTTATTCTATTGTTTGCTTTGCCTTGCCTTGCCTTGAACTTGCGTCGGCGATAACTAGTAAGCAATAAATTATTGCTTTGCGCACTTGGAATATTTACCTAAGCAAATTACGTTAATTGGTGGCAGTTGAAGCTAGTTAATCATATCGTAAAAAAGTAACAAATAGTTTTCTTTCGTCTTGCAGTTTAAAATTTGGCGGCTTGTGAGTGAGACGTGCGCGTTTCTCACACCTTCGGCTCATTTCCGTTCATTAATTATCGCACGTCAAACCTAAGACATGTTCGCTCGGCTAGCGGCCTTAGACATGCGGCGGTACGCTTGGCTATTTTCGTGCGTGTATTCATGCTAAAACCTTTTGAAATCTCGCTGGGCTTATTTTTAACACTTTGTGCAATATTTCGCTGCATCTCATCATTTTCAAGTTTCGAAATTGAAACAACAGTCACATTTTCGGTTTGCTAGCAAATAAATCAAGTTGAAACTAGTTGGAGTGACTTTGAGATGTTATTCGGTATATATTAGAGTTAAAATCTGAAACCAGGAATAGTTTAAATCGGTTTGTTAAATGGAGTATTTTATTGAATATTGAAAAATATTTATTTATCAATTAATGCCTTTAAAATTGTAGCAAAACCCCCAAAACACCACACACTGCACTATTTAGTCAACTTTCATTAATTAGGTCTACGCACGCGCGTATTACATATTAAATGTAAATTAAAGTGAAAGTGTAACGCTTTTTGAAATCGAAGATTTACATAAATTGTTTTATTTTCGTGCGCAAGGCTACCTAACGCAGGTTAATAATGGCGTACACGAGAAATTGAATATGCTTGTACTTGCAGCCGCGACTAATGCAAAGAATCCGCCATAATCTCAAGCATCAAAGTTTCTAATCTTCGTTGATGGTGTGTCTCAAGTTATTACTTTGCGTTAACGACAAGGATTGAAAAATAAAACACATACCTCAAACGCTTCCAGACATTTCGACGGTGTAATTATATGAGAGTTAAAAATAATGTAGACGGTACACAAAAAATACCTATCAAAATTGTTTATTTGCCTTGGCTGGGTTCTCTCAGTATACTTGCGAGGCACGTATTCAACATTTAAGTCCACGTGAGGTCGCGTCACCATGGCAGAAGAATAAAGGTCGATGTTAACTCACCGCGAATCGCTAAAAGTCCACATTGACTTGTTACCGCTGTTTGCAATCATTTGAAAGCCCACAAATACCTTTGATTATCACATTCCGTATATAATTACACATTCCGTACAGAATGCCTTTGCAACATAAATATAGGAATTGTATTTACGTTTTCATTAGCCGGTCAGGTCAGTCATGCCTTGAAAATACCTGTAAATGGGATATTTGCAAATTACACATTTATATGGCTGTCAATTACCATTCACTCGTTTAATATGCGTTCGGTTCTTGCTTCGTATTCGTGCAGCATGCGTGGTGCGCCCGTAAACAGGTTGATTTAAAAGCGACACAAACAAATAAATTATTTGTAAATCAATGCATACGTTCATTATATTTGCCGGTAATTATTGGTTATTAGAGCTGAAGTCGAGAATTGACTATATAATATTATATTATTCCCATAGAAATAAAATACTGTAAAATTTAATATTAGGGTCGTTTAATAAAATACGAAATAAGAAATACATAAAAACTTCGGAAAAGTATAGAATAGAAATTTCTACTCTAGTGTTTGTTTCCTTCAATTACGAAGTGCATTTTCTCGTATTAATTGCTTAATGCAACAGCTTTCTATCTATCAATCTCTACAAACAAAACGCAGTTAATTGTACGCTTGTAGGACTGCAACCGAGACTAACAGCTTAATAGCAAAAAACGTACTAGAGTCAAGAATTGAACATTTTGCACGCTCTTAGAAGATTATTTGTCGAAAATGTTGACCTGAAAACGCACACAAAAATTCATTCACTGAATAGTTTCCTAACATTAACTAGCTGCTCGCACGTGAAATAATGCGTTGCTGCGCACCGACTAAGTGAACTAAATTTTTATCCGTTTTGTTTCTCCTTGTACGCGCCGAGGCTAGTTGAGAGTTTGTCCTGGTTTCGCTTGGTTTGTGGGCTCGACTCATGAGGGTGATGATCGCATCGCATGTCGCGCGCACATACGACTGTTTATTGGACGTGTAAACAAACGCGCACAAATCACGTCCTATCTCTCTGTGCGGTAGTTACCGGTGACTTAGAGCCGCGGAAAGAAGCGGCGGTACACATCCAACCCGTGAGAACGCAAAATGGTAAATTCTAAATCGCTCCCAACGCAAATGAACGAACATGCTGCGCAATATATTGCACTGCACGATGTGCACACTGAGATGTATCGATAGATAGTTTGGGAAAAAGTACGAAACGTGAGTGTAGAGTTAGAGTTTACAGTTTCAGAGACTATGTACGCAATGCTAGTACCTGCAGCTTGTGTATGGC